CTGTACAAAACTCAAACTTGTACTAAATAGGCGTAATAAAAACTTCAAGGTCACATATTCTGTAAAATCCTCTTCTCCATGTTCTCTACTCTAACATGTGTCTCTAGTCTGTCCACAAACCCCCAATGATGAAAAAGTCCATCCTCTCCGTTCCTGCCTGCTCCACTTTTCAGAAAATGTGTCTCAAACAGGCCGTTTGGAGATTTCCCTTCATGACATCACAAAGGGCAGTAGCCCCTCCCCCAGGTGGGTGACACTCCCACAGCTAGGTGTTTGTTCTGCCCTCTGAGTCTGCCTTCTCACCGTAAACAATAGGACATGGAGCGAGAAAGCACCGAGTACACCCAAGCCCTTCCAGAGAGGGGGTGTGGTCAGACACAGCTCATTTACATATTTAAAAGGTACAGACACAGAAACAGCCTGTTCTGAGCAGGCTGAAATAGAGGGGTTTATAGACATGATCAAATACAGGATCAGAGTGGATTTAGAACAAGAAACTTCACACACATGTTTTGAGGAGCTCTGAGACTTATTTAAACTGAAAAAGGAGGAGGATATGTGACCTTTAAGTAAAACTAAGAAATGAAATAATAATAAAAACTTATGAAAGGGACTTAAATGAATGCTTATTTTGCAGCCTGTTTTCTGGATGTGAGAACTGGTACTTCTTTTCTATATCAAAGGTTATAAAAAATATCTTTTAAGTTGCTGCACTGCCCCCAGTGGTCTAAAAAATATTAATGACTGCAGATTTAAAGGTGCTTTCAGATAATGTAGCATAAATACTGTCCACTAGTAAATTAAAATAATTAGAAGAAAAGAGCAGCGACTTGAAAATGAATCGATTCAAAATGTTTAATTTAATTGTGATTTTGGGCAGAAAACCTGCTGCAGGCCTGCAGTGCAGCTGTGTGAACAATCCTCACTAATCACGAGGACTGTGTGTCGTTCCTTTCACAGCCTGGTGGTGTCACCTACACTAGAGCCCAGCACTGACCCCCACCCACCACCCCTCCCGACTAGACCCCACCCCCCGGGTCCCCCTTTGATCCCACCTCTCTGGTTTCTCCGCTGCATCACACTAACCCCTTCTCTCACTCACAGTCCACCTCACCTCCCATGTCCCCCTGCAACCCTTTCCTTTCTCTCGTCCAGCACAACCCTTTCTATGAAGACATTCTAACCGCTAAGCCCCTAAAACCTTCGCTGCCTCCTCTGCCCTATCTTTTCCAGTTCCCGGCCCCCCATAAGTCAACTTTTTCCACAGGCGAATAACAACAACTTAACCACACACCACTCCATCATCGCACAGAGCCAAAGAACAAAGTGACGGCAAAAGTTGAGAAACGACCTCTTCCTCCGGTTCCTACAGAAGGGGAGAACGCTTTAAACAAGAAGTCAGCCAACCTTTTACGACTGCAGGAGAGCTGGAGTCAGAGTGGGACGACTCCTTTGAAGCGTTCGCAGCTGGCAGGCTGCAGCCCCCGAGGACCCGACCACAGATTGCAACACACAGCAAAACCTTCCCAGTGACCGTCCACTGGAACGCTGCGGAAATAAAGGAGCATTGCTTCCCATAACGGATGCTGATCAAAACACTAATGTGAATGAAGCGCTGCGTCATCAACCTTGCACAGAATTTGTATTGAGGCACATAAAGCCGTCACTAACACTAACACACATCACTTTGACACGTTTGCACAATTCCTGGAGACGATCCCGGAGCACACAAGCTTTGAGAGTGACAATCTAACTTTAAATACTCTGTCTGCATGCACCGAAACTAATCAAGCTAACAGCACTACTAACACAACTGATTTAAAAGAAACGAGCCTGCATCAACCTCTGAGTCATGCATCGTCAGTAAAGCTCGACCGCAGCTCCCCGGATCCTAGCTCATCGGGTCTCGGCAGTTCTGCAGAAGAGGATTTCCTCTCCTGCCTCTCTTCCTACTCCGACAAATTCTCCCCGTCCTCCTCCGAGGAAACTGAGGCGCAGAACTTTGAGAGCGGCATCCTCAGCTTTGAGAAATCTCCTGAGTCAGCTGCGGTGAAGGATTTAAAGACAGTAGAGTCTGAAGATGACACTGCTGACAAGTCAGTGGATCTGTCTTTAGTTGATGTTACCCAGCACACTGTTATTCAGGACGGAGATGGATGTGAAAAGGTTGGATTGGACAGAGAATTGGAACCACAGCTTCCAGTGCTAATCCATCTTCATCGTGTGATCACTGCAGAAGAGACTGGAACACAAGGGGGCCAAACTGAAGCACCAAAACTGTCAATATCTGACGTTTCTTTACAGGCTGAAAGCAATTTAAACAGTTTGGACGGGACGTTGGACCCACAGTTTTCAGCGTTCACACATCAGCAGACTGTAATTCCTGCAAAAGAGACGGGAACTGAAGCTGAAGACTTTTGGCTACAGAATCTCTCAGAACTACAGCCGAAACCAAACGTCTCTTTACGACCCATCGAAGAAAACGGAGAAGACATTTTGGGGGAATTCAGCGAATCTGTATCAGTTTCAGAAGTTTTAAATGATTCACCAGATCAAGAACTCTGCTCTGCACAACCGTTGTTACGCATCATAACGTCCTCCCCTGACCCGAACTCTGCAGAGCCGCTTGTTGAGATCACTACTTCAGAAAGGCGGGATACTAGCCGACAATCCCCGATACCCTTTGGGCTTCTTGGTGGTTTCCTCAACACGAGTAGCATAGCGATAAATACGAGCCGATGCATGGACGAAACACTGTTGCAAACACCGATGTCCGATAAGAGCAACAGCAGCTTTCTGCAAAGCCTTTATGTCAGCACCGACTCGCAGGCTTACCAAAGCTGTGTGTCCGACCCGGCCTCCAAATTCTCCAGCGAGTCTGAGACAAATGAGACTCTGGACTCTGTGAACTTAACGCTTTGTGGGGATCTGAGTGAAAGTCAGGCGACTGCTGAAGACGCTCAAGACGATGCAACCAAACCCGACTCCGCCCAATGTCATCAATCCTTCCCTAGAGCTTTGGACGATACAGAAACTCTCGAGCCAAGTTTTACTACGAGCAATATTTCAGGTGCTACTCTCCAACGCTCCCACTCTGAAGGCGACTTGACTTCTGCCTTCCAAGAGCTTCTCCTGCCCTCGTTTGGGAGCGATCCCGGTGCAATACAGGGTTCCTCTTCATCAGCTCAGCCCAGCCCCCCTGACCTCCCCTCTCTCGCCGCCTTTCCTCCCTCTTTAACTCCTGATCGTAGCAGCTCCCCCGTAGTGCTCTTTCCTCCCCCTTCTCTTGCCGACGCTACGGCGAGTTTACCAACCGGCGCGACACAAGCTACAGCGCCAAAGCCGGTGCCTCTGGAGACCGATTGGCAGCGGCAGGCGGGCTATCCGGAGGAGAACAGGTGAGGTTTGCACATGCTCAGTGTGTGGTGAAAAAAAAAAGGTGGAGGGGGGGAAGCGCTTTTCCCACTTGCCAGAAATTTCTATCCTGTCGTCTCTTCAGTCTCCCTTTGACGCTCTACTTCCGCCTGCTTTTCTTCTGTGGCGCCAACTCTCGAGGGGTTCCTATTTTGTGGTGTGACCTTCTCGTGTTCAACACACACACACACACACACACACACACACACACACACACACACACTGGTGTTAACAGGACTCCTCTGCAGGTGTCTTGTGTGTGTCCTGGCTCGGTGGTAAGAGGAGGGGAAACAAAGCCTCGGGCCAATTAGCAGTTATTATTTTGCCCTGATTCCTACCACACACCCCCTCCCTCCCCACACACACACACACACACACACACACACACACACACACACACACACACACACACACACACACACACACACACAAACACAAACCATCCCCCCGCCCCCACAGGGCCAGCTAGTGTTCTCACACAGCCACACTCATTTGCCAAGATCTCAACCACTAACCCGCCTGTATTTGAGGCAGAGAAGGTGTTGTTGTGTCATTTCCTTTTCACCTCGAGGTAATAACACATTTAACACAATTCTTCATGTTTGATTGCACTGACGCATGCAATTAAGTCTTTCAGTTTTGAGCTAATTTAATTTTAATTTTCACCAGTATTTCCCGTAATGAGGACTCTTTAACACATGTCTAACCTTCTCTACTCTTCATCACTAAAACGAAGGCTTTCTGGGTTCTCAGAGGTCGATCTTTAGCATCCATGTCTGCTGTCATTCTGGAGGTCTAGAGGTGATCTGTTACACTTAAACAAAGCTAAAAAACAAACAAATGTAACAGTTATTATTTTGAATGTACTGGAAAGTGACACTGGAAACTGTCTTCATCGTGTTATTGTCGAGCTGTTTTCACACACATGCACTCTCCACAGCAGCGTGCCCCTGAAGTCTCCCTGAGTGACTTTTGTCCCTGTTTAATGGGATTCGGGGGGGGGGGGGCACGGCATGATGTTAAGAAAAAAAAAAAGATGCTGCAGAAATCCAAGATGGTAGATGAAGCCACAGAGTCTGACACTGTAATGACTGTTTTTTTTGCCTTGATATCTAGTCTAGTTTTTCCTGTCAAAGCGTCTTTGAGTATTTAGAAAAGCGCTATATAAATCTGATTTATTATTATTATTCTACCCATCCTATAAAGGTCATCCGCCCTCACCAGTTTGCTCACACTGAATTCCTCTCACCTTAAATTACCGGCTGCATTCACACATCAGCTCGCCCCGACTTCACGCCTAAACTGAGCCGGGGAGCTGGCAGGAAAAAGTCAGAGTGAAGCATTCAGCCGTTTGCGTTCACACATACTGCTCACCTCGGATGATGACATTTTCAGGAGTTTTGTGCTCGTTTGCAAACAGCTTATGTTTGAGAAGCTCCTTCAGGAAGTTATTTTGCTTTAGACCTCCAGCAGGGCGGAGTGCATGGACTTCTTCATTAAACTCACTGAGGTTTTGTCCTTTAGTGAAAGAGATGACATGACTTTATATATGTGTGTGTTGTATGTTGTCGTCTCGTCCAGCCCCCACCCTGTGAAGCCCCTGACCACTGCCATGCTGGCTGAGGAGAAGCGGACTGAGGGCCGGTCAGTGCTGGCCACCGGCCTGGAGAAGCTCAAGTCCACCATCCACCCGGGGAGGAGCAGCAGCCAGATCAGTGAGCCGGAGCCGGAGAGGAAGAAGGTACAGTTTGTTTTTCAGCAACAACACTTCCCCTGCAGAGGCAAAACACAGAAACTATGTGCACGGATTATCAGGTTGAATATTTATTCTGTATTTATATTCTCACTTATAGTTCTCAAAGAAGCTGTTTTTACCCCACACTAGTACAAGTCTAAGATGTTTGTCTCATTTTTACTTAAATAAAGCACAAACATGCTGATGGTATTACATCATCAAAGAGCAAAAAGAGAAACAAATCCACCTTAAAGGCTTTATATGTGATGTTTTGATCCAGCAGATGTCGCCCTTGAGCACCAGCATGAAACCAAAACAACTTGCGGTGCATTGTTGTGTTAGCATGCTAATGCTAACGATCTTTATTATGCTGGTATCTTCACACTGCATGTAAATTTACCTGAAATGAGCGTGATCTAGAAACACAGTTAAGCAGTGAGTACAGTATGTTATTCTTCTTTTCTCTAGTCCCTCAATTAAACAACTTTTATACACGAGGGGAGGAGTCAGCCGGCCGTCTGGGCGATGTAAACAAAGTGAAGATAGGACTCTGAAAACTCTGAAAACATCACAGACAGTGGGGACTCGGGTGTTACACCCATTGTAGACAGTCATGACTCACAGAGTTATTTTCAGAGGATATTCTTGATTTCTACATTTAAGTGTGAAAAGCCTTTAAATTTCTTTGTAAATCTGTTTTCATTCTGGCACTGATGAACATTTCTCACACATGCAGCTCGCAGCGGGACACTATCGGGGGAGGGTGGGGGGGGGTGTTCTCGAGGGGAGAGACTTGACGTAAGAAGAACAATGTGGAAGTGATGAACAAAGCAACAAAGCTGTGATGACATCAGGGACACATGTTGTTAATCATAGTGTCAATAACAGAGCGAAGAGGAACAGAAAACAAAATAAAGCAGTTTTATTACGAGCACTGGGATCGTCATCTCGTGCATAAAGTCTTACAGTCGTGCGGTCTCAGGATATAAACGTCATCATCCCCTCCGACTCCCTCGTGGTGGATTCTCCTGAATATTTCCTGCTGCGTTCTCATATCAGCGGGAACATTAACTAGGGAGCTGGAAGGAAACGTTCCAGGTGAAATGGTTTGTTTGTGCTCACACATTCAAGACTTCAGGAAGATGTCAGGAGTTTAATGCAAGTGGAAAATAACATTTTTCACAAGGATTGTAAAGCAGAAAACAGCAAACTATAAAAATTCAGTTAAAAATAAAGGTCAGAAAAGTATGCAAACACCTTGAAAGACAAACGGAAAACTATTCAAAGCTACATCTCTGAAATCATGCAGAGTTAATATTTACACAATTAACTTACATAATCGAACACAAAATACCAACTGAGGTAGTGGGAGGCAAGCAATGCATGTTCTCTGTGAGGAAATAAAAGCTGTTTTTGTCAATGGAGTCTGGAAGTGTGAAGAGAGAGAGAGAGAGCTTAAGGTTGTTTGTGGCTCAATAAAGAAATCTTCTGGTATTGTAAAAAGTTATTTTTCTGAAGGGATCCTCTTACATTACAAAGCCTGTCGGCGCCTTTTCAACAGAGGATTACTTTGTCGTCACAACAGATTATTCTGAGGCTGCTTGATGAAGCTATTTCAAAAAGTTTCAAAACATATCTTACTTTCTGGATTAAAAGAACGTTAGGAAACAAAAAGGAAAAAAAAGATGCAGAATAGAATAGATGTTTATTGGCATTTGCACAGGTACAGGACAGTACAGGTACATTGGAATTTTTGTGCGTTTCTCCCTGAGTCAGCTTCTACAAAAAAGTTAAAATTATAAATATTATTGAAAAAAATTATAAGAAAAAAAGAGTAGTAAAGTACAAATAAAAAAATAAATAAGTTGTAGTTACAGCTAAGTAAATTCAAATAAACTGTACAGAAGCTATACACTGGAGGAAAGCAAATAATATAATACAAAAAAAACACTATACAATGAAATGAAAATATAAATAGAAGGATGCAAAGCAACTCTAGCTCGCTGCCGCCTGTGACGGCGTTTCAACCTGAACTGATTTTGTCATTTTGACCCAGAACTATAAAGATTCAGAAGCAATGTTTAAATCTTGAATTTATCTTCTCTCTGTGTCCAGTCTCTGACAGAAGGCGCCGGCTCGTATTACCACCTGACCCACAGCGAACTGGTCGCCCTGCTGTTGCAGCGGGAGGCGGAGCTGGAGAGGCAGAAGGCGGAGTTTGAGCGTCAGAAATTCCTGCTGGCCAAGCGGGAGGTGGAGCTGAAGAAGCTGAAGCCGCAGGTCAAAGATCTGGAGGACTACATAGACACGTTGCTGGTGCGGATCATGGAGCAGAAACCCACGCTCCTGCAAGTGCGCTCCAAGTTAAAGTGAGGAGGAAAGGGGTTTGCAGTTCACTCTAACCTCCACAACAGCTCTTTAGTCTTTTCACTGCTATGCTGTCCTTTTTGATACAAATATCTTAGAGCACTGAGAGATGTCGAGGAGATTGTTTTTTCCAGCCGGCATGCTTTTACTGTGCTGAGACGCGTCCTCGTGGAGGGGGTTCGGTACGGGGAGTTTCTGAATGTAGAGGGTCCTCAGGTTGTTTTCAGGTTCACACAGAAAGGTTGGTTTTTAAGTTCACAGAGGAGTGACACCCAGACGCTTCCCGATTGTTAAAAAAAAAAAAAAAAAAAAAAAGAGTTTTCACCTCACCTGTCACTTCTATCACCTTATCTCACAAAAAAAGAGAGAAATGGTCGAGTCTCAATCCAGGACAACGTAAACCCCTCTCCAAAGGTTTTGCCGTCCGTCTGTCAGGAAGGGAGGAGTCACAGCGTCGCCTGTTTTATCTCATTAACCACAGATTCCATATTCTTTAAGTCAATGTTTGCAGTTTCTGCAGCGTTAGATTGATTAGATACCTTCCTTCCGGGCAGCCTTTGGTTTCAGTTCATTTCACAGCAGAATGAAAATCAACTTGCAGATACTTGAATCGTGCTCTGAACAAGCTTCTGTCACAGTGAACATGTTCAAGCCTTTGTTTTGTTTTTCACAGCAGCGTTCTGAAGGGAGGAGCGCAGCGACCGTGCTCTGCAGAAAACACCTTATTGTTCAAAGACGTTAGATTCAGTTTAGAGAAAGAAATTCATGTATGAGCTCGATAACAGTCCTTTAAATTCATTAATTCTCATTTCATTTGAGAGATGTTTTTTTATTTAATGGACTTACCTTTTGGCTTAAAATTCAGAAAGTCAGGGCGACGATGGGATGACGGTTGGTGTGCACCCAATATATGAGGCTGCGGTCCTCCAAGCGGGCGGCCCGGGTTCAGATCTGACCTGCGGCCCCTTTCCCACTCTCTCTCTCTCTCTCACTCTGATTTCCGACTCGGTCTACTCTCCGGTCTCTAAAGGCACTAAAAAAATCAGAAAAATTGTAATAATAATTCAGAAAGTCTCGACAACTGCAAGATAACGAGAAGCTGCCAATCCTCAAACTCTGGATTTCTGTGTCGTAATTTAAACAATAAGCCGACCAACAAAACTGACGACTCGTTCTTAAACAGTCTCCAAATCCATCGTACAAAACCAGTCAGACATTAGTGAACTGTACCGGATGTTTTTGAAGCAGACGATCTGGTTTCAGATTTGAGAAGCATCAAAGTTATCAGGACAGTCCCTTCTCCAAACTGCTGTATTACACAACACGTTAACACCGACTGCATCTTAAAGTAAACACATTCTGTTCACTGCAGCGGATCTCAAGCATGCTTCAAGTTTCTGCAAGTGTTTCTTCACGGTTCAGGGAGCGGGTCGACATTTTTTGAAAGCACCTTTGTTTGTTTTTGATGTGCAGATATTCGATCAGATGAATGAATGAGATAACGTTCTCATGTCAGTAATATAAACACTGAGGTGAAGCCAGGAAGCATTTAGCTTAGTTTCAGACAGGAAGTTGGAGGAAACAAGGAGCCGTGCTAACTGCAAAGCTCTGAAGATGAAACACCAATCATTTGACCTTAAAAATGAAAACGATTACAGAGACCAGGTTTGGCTTTAACAGCGGCAAGGTGCAGTTAAGGCAACCTCATGGTGACCACGACTGACTGTATATAAAAAAGGACGTCGCGCCTCCACCTCCTCCTGGTGCACAAAAGTGAAGCCAAATAATAAAAAACCCTGTGACATTCGCTGACATATTGTGCTGGTGATGTGATTTGGAGCGCCTTCCTCTAACCGAAAACACTCGTTTCACTTACAGATAAAACTTCAAATCTCCCTCAGGTTGTTTCAGTCCTCGAGTCGGTTTGAATCAAACACGATTATGGAACTTCAACAACACTTGTCAAGGTTTCTTTATTCGTCTCCCTAAGGAGAAATTTTGTCTTGGCTACTAGGAAATTGCTGCATGGACAATACATCAAAACAATATAAAAACAGTAATTACAAATGTGCAAAAACATTAGCTTGTCCCTGCTACAGCTTGTGTTAGCATTCGTTAAGTTAAATGCTAAACCGGTGCAAACAGTGTTGTAGTCGCCTCATTGCTCAACAGAGCTGTCAATCATAACCACATTCTTCTTATTTAGCATCAAATAACTAATTTAAATAAACTTCTAGGGAGAAACTTTAACAACAAAAACAATGTGTGAGAAACAGTTATTTAGTGTGTATTTGATTTTTATAGTTTCACCTATTGTCCTATTGGTTAACGCAGAGGAGGCGGGGCTAATGACCTTTACTGTAGCCGGCCAGCAGGGGGAGCTCTAAATGTTTTGGCTTCACTTGAGGCGAGGTGTTTCGCTGTCCATTCTTCATACAGTCTAAGCTAAACAAATCACCTCCTTTACTTTAGAGATTTTGAAGTGTTATCGATCTTCTTGTCTGACTTCAGTAAATGTAACAAAATGAAAACCTGTTTATTATCTCGAGTTGACTGAAACAAAAAAGAAAACCAGTACAGACTCTAACGTCTCCATCTGGCACCAGTTCGTCCCGTCTGTGTTTACGTTGTTCTGGAGTGACTCTCTACAAACGTTCCCGGGTGAATATCGAGCGCTCTGACTAGTTATCGAAACCACAAAACCAAACGACGGCGTGCGAGCTCGGCCTCGCCGCGTGCACGTCGCCGGGATCTGACTGTAGCTTCTGAATGTTCAAAAGTGTTCTTAGCCAGCGAGTGAATGGTTTGATTTTCTACGAGCGATGACGACTGCTGCTGTTTATCTTTTTGCTTGTTCCTCTTCTTCTTCTCTTTTTTTTTCTGTTCTATGGGCATGTCTTGAAATTACCCATGATGCTCAGCGTAATAAGCTAACTGATACTTGTGTGGGTCGCGGTGTTATCGGGCGAAGACAGTTATCACGCAGCGCGTCACAACTTCTCTGATCTCATGCTTCTGCCTTCCCGTGTTGTCAACACGACTCGACTTGATTCCCTTTCCTTCTCCCTCGCCTTTTCCTTCTCCCTCGCCTTCTCCCTTTCCTTCTCCCTCGCCCTTTCCTTCTCCCTCGCCTTCTCCCTCGCCCTTTCCTTCTCCCTCGCCCTTTCCTTCTCCCTCGCCCTCGCCTTCTCCTTCTCCCTTGCCTTCTCAATCAGCCTCACCTTCTCACTCACCTTCTCCCTCGCCCTCGCCTTCTCCCTCGCCTTCTCCTTCTCCCTTGCCTTCTCAATCAGCCTCACCTTCTCACTCACCTTCTCCCTCGCCCTCGCCTTCTCCCTCGCCTTCTCCCTCGCCCTCGCCTTCTCCCTCGCCCTCTCCCTCGCCTTCTTCCTCGTCTTCGCCTTCTCCCTCGCTGTCCGTGTGTCACGTCCACTCCCGCTCGAGCACGCCGCATCACCTCTGCTTCCAGGTGTTACAAAGGGATATACGCCGTATTGAAATGCCAAACGCTGCCTTATTTTTTTGCTTTGTTTTAAAATAAATCTAGCACTTACTTTAACGTGTCGCGGCTCGGGGGGGCGGGGCTTAGAGAAAGAAAAAGCCATCTGTTCACCTCTTCCTACATATTCTGTTGAAATCACTGCACAAGAATAAAACCTGTATGCACATCGATGATCGAGAAAACGAGCAGCCTTGAGACTCTGAGTCGACGGAGCAGATCGACACACCATGAAGTATTCTGATATGAAGCCACTTTTTAATTCCTGGATGTTCTTGCACTTCCTGATCGTCAGAACGTAGCCCTGCTGTACCCGTCTGTCCGTAGCGGTATAGTTAGATCTACTTTACACCGTACTGCACTTTATAACCGCTCTGTGATTTAAGCACTCGGCCGTCTCTGACATCACCACAGTGAGCTCGAAGCATACAAAAAATAAAAAACATCCCAAAACAATCGAGTTGTCTCAGTTCTGCTGTTGAGACATATTTACATGTGACTCTTCTTCCATGTCTTCCATTTCGACCCTTTTCTTTCTGTCTTTCTTTTTTTAATTTAAGTATAAACCGATTGTATTTTGTCCTCGATTGTGTAGCGGGTGGAATGTGCTTAAGGTAGTGTGTTAAGATTGGAAAGTTTACAATCCGTGATGCAATTCTGTTTCACAAATTTTGTATATTTAATAAAGAATATTTTGTGTTTCTTGCTCACCGTATGTTTGGCTGTAAATCTTTCTTCAGTGTGTGTTTTGTTGTTGTTGTTGTTGTTGTTTTTCTTCTTCGGCTCAATTTTACATCATGTTCAAAAGTTTCTACAAACCGTGGATTTTTGTTGAGGAATAAATCAACAACCTCGTTATGAATCATTTTAAGGTTTCACATGAAAGGCTGCACAATAAATCGCAATAAATAAAACGATAGTATTTAAAGGAGCAGTATGTAACTCTGACACCTAGTGGTTAAAATGAACTGCAGTCTAAATTCTAAACCTCATAGAGAGCTGTTTGTTATACGAGATATAACAAAATGAAATATGCATACGTGCCCGATAGCAACAAAGAAAAAGACAATGCAGAGAAAACTTTAAATGTACGGCTCAGGAGAAAATGAGTTTTTGAAACGTCTCTGCAGAGCTAAAATGTTTGTTTTTAAGGATAATTACATATTGTTGTTGTGTTTTGTTTTTTATTTGTTCTAACTTGTGAGCTATGGGACACTCCTGAATTTCCCCCAGAGGATGAATAAAGTAATCATCTATCTACCATAACAGAATAAGAAGCAGCTTTGCATCCAGAGGTTTTGTTAAGCTGAGGTCATATTTTTGAAATTTCTGATTCATCTTATCAGTTAAATACTTTCTTCACACCGCTACTAATAAACATTTTCTAATAAAACATCTGCAGCACAGAATCCTCTAACATGAGTGAAATCATGGTTCCTATATAATCTAATTACATGAGCCTGTATGTGAATGTGTCACACATTGAACGTCCCTCGTGGAATATCTGAGGATCTGTCAGTATGTGATATTTACACTTGCTAAAGTGTGATACACTTGTAATTAACAGGAAAAATGCTTCACATGATGGATTATAGGGCTTTTTTTAAATAATCGTACAATACTGGAATCTTTCTTTAACTTCTCAACATGTTTACTCGTCAAGTCAATCTGTAGCCCACAAATCCTCAGAACAAACCTCAGACATGAACTAAGGAAAGGTCTGTGATTGTTTAAATGCCATAATCTGCTCTTCAGATGTTGATTTAACTTCAGAGGAGAATGTGATTTAGTCCAACCCCTGCACATTTGTATTATCACACAGTACCAAAATCCACCACTAGGGGGCTATGTTACACTCTTTAAACTCCACTCCTACCTTCTTTCCTTCATTCACCAAAAACTTCAACAGTCAAAAAAAAAGAGTCAAATTCTTTAAATCATCTGTTGCTGCACTGAAATCTCATGCAATACATGTTCTCTCCTCTCCTGCCTGAAAGTGAAAACAAAACAAAGTTATTCTGGGAAGTGTAGTGTGTCCGCCTTAGGGCTCATTCACAACTTGAACCCGGAAGAACTACATTACCCATTACACAATGCAACCGTGCAGCTGAAGAACCCTGCAGCCTCACTTCATACAGTGTTTGTATAAAAAGTTGTTTTTACCTCGTAGAGAGAGGAGAGGAGTTGGTGTACTTGTGTGTATGTTTGCAGCAGCATGTCTGAATATCCGACATTCCAGCATGGCAAGTCTCGTTTCGACCAGGTGAGTTTATTTTTCACGTTGCTGAAATCTGAAATCTGAAATCTGAAATCTTCATGTGACTTCAAGCACCAGGCAGCTGTTGATATTTGGCCCATATAGACATATCTGTTTTAATATAAACCATATGAGACCGCCTGCTTTAATATCTTCTCTAACAGCCCGAGTTGAGTTTATTCAACTCGATGAAGCTCCTTCTTGTAAAACTCTACACTCAAAGTGTAGGCATGTTCAACTTCACATTTAAAGTGTCCAACATGCAGGTGTTCTGTCACAAACAACGTCATATAGTTATTAAATATTATTTAAAAATGTAAGTATCGTAGTTGTGTCTGAGAGCATGTTGCAATAATAATGCTGAAAGTAAAGTTATAATCATCTTTATGGGTCAAGCTCAGACTGGAAAGTCTCACCTATTCGGACTTTCGAACCTACGCTTATGCTGCCTTCAGGTGCCCTTGGAAATATTGTACTTCCCATATGTGAGCGTTGTTATCAATGATAATATACTCGACTGTTATGTTTTATAGTTAAAGGTTTGCTTGTTACTACAGCTAATTGATGCATTTATTCAAATATACAACTACTAAAAATAAATCATAGCTGCTATGAACAAAAAACAAAGATGTATAAACCGTTTTTACCGTTAATCGTTGATGCTGAAACAAAAAAGAAAACCAGTACAGACTCTAACGTCTCCATCTGGCACCAGTTCGTCCCGTCTGTGTTTACGTTGTTCTGGAGTGACTCTCTACAAACGTTCCCGGGTGAATATCGAGCGCTCTGACTAGTTATCGAAACCACAAAACCAAACGACGGCGTGCGAGCTCGGCCTGATATAACTGATAGTCATAACTGAGTCATAACTGATATAAACATCCATTGATGCATAAACGTAAAAGGTCATTTTGCTTTCTGCCATTTTTGATGCCCTGAAATGACAAGCAAACGTCACAATTTGGGGTATAATCCTAATTATCCTAATTCTCTACTTCTGTTCATGGCCGATCATGTGCTCATCACTCGTATTTACAGCAAATCCGATAATTCCAACGGATACGTGAAGGCATCGTAGTTTTACGTAACTCGATCAGGCTTTACGCAAACGTACGCAAACGTACGTAAGATTTAAATCTCCAACGGTCAACTTCGCGTCTCCGCCAACTGCTCAAACATTTCTCCCCTGGAGGGAAATTCACCTGATTTCGTGGGTTCAACATTAAAATAATAAATAAAAGGTGACGTTGTAGAAGACATCAACAGGTGAGCTCTTCTAAACATAAACATTAAGTTAGTTAAACATCTAGCATGTTACCGTAACTGTTAGCTAACTGTGAAGAGTCAAGATCCACCTTTATAATCTTTTTTAGAAAAATAAGAACTTTTCCACTGATTTTTGTTGACTTAAAATAGTTAAAATGACATTTTTTTTAATAGCCAAGTAGCATTTAACAAGTAATAGCTCAACCTAGTTTAACCCACTTCCGTCAACAAACCGACTCTCCCGCGGTGTTCCACTTCCGGGTCTGGGGTCAGGTGTCAGATTCACTCAGACTTTCTTTATTATCATTCAAACTTGTACTTTACAGAGCAGATAAGAACCAAATTGTTAGTGCAGGATACAAACAGCAGCAAGTATTCACACAGAAAAATAAGGTGCAGATATAAACAGACAAGCTGAGAGTAAAATGACTACAGATAAATATATTGCACGTTTGTGATGTTTGTTATATTGTATTTTACAGTCCAGTGAGTCCTGTGTGGGGGTTTGAGGGGGAATGGAGGGATTAGTCTGTGGAAGAAGCTGTTACAGAACCTGATGTTCAGCAGTTGGAAAACAGTCCTCCGGTGGGTGGGAGGGGTCTCTGCTGGTTCTCTGAGTCCTGCGTCAGCGATCTCCTGGATGTTCAGCAGTGAAAACAGTCCTTGGTGGGGGTGGGAGGGGTCTCTGCTGATTCTGAGTCCTGGTCAGCGATCTCCTGGATGTTCAGCAGTGAAAACAGTCCTTGGTGGGGGTGGAGGGGTCTCTGCTGATCTCTGAGTCCTGGTCAGCGATCTCCTGGATGTTCAGCAGTGAAAACAGTCCTTGGTGGGGTGGGAGGGGTCTCTGCTGATTCTGAGTCCTGTCAGCGATCTCCTGGACTGGAGGAAGTGGAGTCTGAATGATCTTCTCTGCAGGGACCAGACAGAGACGCAGTTTGTCAGGATGCTCTCTATAGTGCCTCTGTCAAAGGTGGTGAGAATAGGAGGGGGAGGTGTCCGAATCCATGGATCCCAACCTTTTTTTTGGCTCATGACCCCCCTTTGACCTACGACACTCTGGTGACCCCAGAAATCCAAAACACAGACTACAGCTTTCTGCTAAGATTCATTTGTTTTTAACCATGTTTAACTGTTTTTCTAATGTGTTGCAAACATTCATGTTAGAGCACATTTAGGCTGTTTGTTGTTTATTATTGAGGACAGAGAAAGAATAGAATAGAATAGAATAGAATTACTTTATTGATCCCAAATTGGGAAATTGTGGCTTACGCAGCAGGTTGTTCAAACACACAATATGAGCAATAAACAACAAATTTAGCAAATTACAACATATAATATTAAATACAAATAAATAAGCACTAAAAATACACTAAGAAATAATATATACAACCAGGATTTAAAAACATTATTAGTCTTGAATATGAAAGATTACATTTAAATGTGCAAAAACAGAGCAGTAAATGGACAGTATTGACATAAGTTAAAGTGCATGAGTGTAGACATATTATCAGCAGAAACTATTACAATATAACTGTGAGTAGACAGACAAATGAAGTGAACATGAGTGCAGGGATCATTTGTGAATGTAACATGTGCAGAACAGATTACAGTGAGGAGAGACAGATATGATCATGATGACAGTTCTCTTGTGTGACCAGTCATTAACAAAAAAAGGTATCAATGCCAGGATAATTCAGAATCTAGTCACTTAATGCAACAGTT